ACAAAGGAATTCCAAGGAAAGCAAAAATACTTTCAGTTGTCTTTTGAGGAAAATGAACAATATCTTCAAACTTGACCAGCTGGTAGCTGGTAGGCAGCAAATCTGTATTTATTCTCAAAGCAGCTGCAGTGTTGGCTAGCCACAAATGAGATAGTAAGGAGACAGTATTTGATTGGGATGTTTCTAATTCTTTCTTCAGTGATTCATACTCAAAAGCATAGCCTGAATTAAAGTTACATTTACTTTTACCTTCCTCTATTTTAAACAATTTTGCTAAATGCTCTGGTACATTTTTCAAAGAATAAAGACTTGGTTTACTACCATATAGCATTGAATAGATCCAGGCTCGAGGGTCTCTTACTATGTACAATGCCCGCATCGAAGTTCCTAAAACTTCCTGAAAAAAATGAAGCTTCAATGTCCAGCTACCACTACTTAAACTAAGCACAGGTCGAGCACTTGGGTAATAAACAAGATGTCTTCTCAAAGCCCTAATATATTCAGCATCTCTATCAAAAGCTCCTTTCATTCTACTTCTTTGTTCTTGCAAAGACTCCCTCCTTTTCAATTTTCGTTTTTTGTCTTTATTAGCTGCAAAATATTGGACCAGTTTATTCCTACTGGTTTCATGTAGATGAATGTTTTGCAAGTGCAGTTTTGTGTCGTGGACCAAAGATAGGAGCCACCCTCGAAGAAGACGGAAATGCCCAGTATGGATATCTGATACTTTCCATTCACAAGCATCTACAAATGAGTCAATTTCAAGTTCAGTTTCGGGAATATCAATGTAGGCTGTAGGGATTCTGATGTAGAGAAAATCACTACTGTTGAAAAAAAGCTGTTTGAGAATGTCAGCTCCTGAACCAGGGAGTGAGGTAATAACAACATCAGGCAGATCTATATGCTTCCCTTCAGAAATTATGGTCTTCTCATTTGCCTTGGTTTCAGTCCTTGTCCATTTTGCACAGATGGGCTGAGTGCAAGTGCTCCACACATCCAGAAGCTCAATAAACCACAAGGCAATAACAAGCATTAACACACAGCGCATTAACTTTCTAAAAGAAAGGTAGAACCACCACTGAAGAGTTAAAATAACCAAACTAATACACAAAATGAATCCAATTGCTATATTAAATTTAAACCCAAAAGGGAAAATAACTCTATCATATCTTACAGGGTTTACTATTGCTTGAGTCCCCAAACCGAATCGGGTTATTTGGCCTTGATTAGCCACACTGGCAAAACCACCAAATCCCAGGTAATCGAATCTACTCTTCAGGTTTTGATAGTCAGTTACAACAGAAACACTATGTTCAGTATTATTGACATTTAGAGAAATCTGAAGTCCAGAAGTGGAACTGTCAATAAATCTGCAGCTGGAAACATTGATATATGGGCCATAAAATACATAAGCAATTCTTGTGATTGTGGATTCCATATGAAATGTAACATTAACAAACTGAGTCCACCTTTTCTTAAATTCAGCAGCTTGTTCTGCTTCCTGTATATTAGCCACAGGAGTGTTGCCATGATGGTCAAACCAAAACATTTTATAGTGTGCATCCCACACATCCATCATGGCACCATTATACCTATTCATAAACCTGTATGGGATGTATTTAAAATCAATATCCAAATTATGAAAGAAGGCACTGACCAAATTTATTGGGGAAGTTTCCTGCCTTTCAATGTGGTCAACAACAAGTAGAGTTTGAGAATTTAAGAGAAGTAAAGCACGATAGACACTTTTTAGTCTCATTGATGAAGAATAAGCAGACACTGCTTCCCCACTCACAAACATCATTTCTCCATGTTGTGAAGCAGTAATAACTTCCCCAGCTGCATCACCAACCTCTTCACCAGTCCACTTGAGCCACTGTGCACATTCTCCCAGTTGACCTTCCCAGGGCTTATTACACTGGCTTGATGGTGATGGGGCAAACACCAATACATTGTTAAGGTGGCTCAACTTTGGTCCATAAAGAGCCTCAGAAACAAATACTTGCCCATTGGGAGCAAAAGTAAATGAATTTTGATCTGGATGTTCATGACCTGGGTTAAAGCTTCTCCATCCATCAATCCAGGAATATGGCTGAAAGTGAACTATGTCATACACAGCTCGTCCTCCCAGTTTCCCAGATTTAAAAGACACAAAGGTATTGGTCTGTGTATTTGGCAGTCCAGCTCCATAAGTCACAACACCCCAGTTAGGAAATGTGTGCATTTTAGCTGTGCCAAAGTCAACAGGAGGCTGTGGGGTAAGCTTTGGATCATACCAGATGTATTCAGTATGAAGAGTACTCCACCTTTGGGAAGTGGAAGGAACCATTGGTCCATCCTTAGGTCGATGCTTTCTAATTTGCTGAGCTAACCAATTTCCAGCTCCATTTCTTAAAATGAACTTATCCAAGAAAACTAGCTGGCTCTCTGGCCCATAAAACCAATTATAATTGGAATCTGCTACACCTATAGTCCTTTGATAGCCTGGCAAAAGTGTAGCATAATAAAACCAAAAGTGCATTTTTAACCAGTTATTATCCAAGTTGTTGATGTTAAAATGGCGTTGTGCCAAGAAAACATACTGTGTAACTGATTTTGAGGTATAGCTTCCATAGGCCACACCTTCATCCAAAGAGCCATCTACAATATGATTCAAGAGAAACATAGTCTTTTCCATAACATCAACAACATCTTGTTTCCATATGTTTGTTTTAGATCCTTTATCTACTCCAGCAACCAAGGCCCCTATGAGTAATGCTATCATATTTGTAGCTTGGTGGTTATGAAGAAGTTGTTTGCCCCATGATCGAATCTTGGAATATTCATACATTTCCTCAGTAACTATCCGTATTTTTTCTAGGTATTTTTGTTTTCGATGATTACTTAACAGATTATACAAAAAGTCAAAGGCAGTGGCAAAGCCTGTTAAAGAATGACCAACTGGAACCTCATCCCCTGGGGCATTCTCAACTAGCCAGTCTTTGTAGCTAACCATCCTGTCCATGTATTCCAAGACAAATTCAAAGGCAACTTTGTCTTCTGGACATAATAAACAATACAGTGCTAAAGGAGGAAGATTATTACCATATATTTCATTCCACTTGGCAGCAAAATCAGCATGCTTGGGTGGAGGTAGGTAGTATGTTGGATTAGACAGCATAATTGTCACTGCACTTTTGATAGCTCTAAAAAGATGTAAATGGCTTGTACGAGATTTTTGTCTCATTGTTTGTATATCCCCAGAATCAAAATACAAATTTGGATGAAGTTTTTGGTTGGGCTTGAAATCTTGTACTTTATGATTCTTAAATTGTTGTATATCATCTGTGAAAACTGCCCATCCAGAGTAATTGCTCACAGATTCTTCACAAGTAGAAAAACTAAACACCATCAATATTAAAAATAGGAAATGTCCTGTAAACATTAACGCCATGATCCATCAGGAAGATCTTTTCCTTAGGCATACATGTTAAACAGTGTTTAATGTGTTTCTCATCTTGTTATTATAATATATATTAAAGTCCTAGATAAATCCGACCTTATACCTCATAGGCTGTGAAATCCAGATGACATTCAGCTCATCCAAAGCAAGGAAAGTTGCTATGAAAGGAAAACTTATATCACATCTCTGTGTCCCCGGCAAAGTTTGGCTTCCAAAAAATAAAACTTCAAGACATATGAATGCCTCCAATGTCTCCATAATGTACAGAAAACAGCAGTGTAGTCAGAAAATACCATGAATCCAGCATTTATTTCCTTTATGTAAATCTAATTAACATATAAAATCAGAGAAGAAGAGAGAAAAAAAAATCCCAAAATTCAAATAAAGTCATTTGTAGAATGTAGAACAAGAAACCATCCTTCATGATTAGCTCACCACATATTCATGGTGTTTCTGTTTGTTCCCAAAAAGAAAATGATAAAGTACTGTCATTCTCAGAGGGACCAAACTTCATTATTCTTTCTCTCAGAGTCTTATGCACTGTGGTTTGTGAATTGTTTCTTCTTCCATTTTGGGGAGGAAAAAATTCTGAACAAGTGTTCAAAGTCCTACATGGTTGATAAACATGATCGAAATTTCTGCCTTCACTTCAAACATCTTTTTCAAGTATTTCCAAATCTTCCTTTTATCATGTTTATCTGCACCTCTAGAGGAATCTAAGCTCTTCAGTCTCTAGGTGCTCCTCTTCAAATCATAACCACCAATTGGGAAAGAAAATTTCCCTTTCAGCAACACTGAAGACTGTTTTCTGTTCCTTTTTCATGTCACTCCTCTCTGGGTGGAAAAAAACAAAAACAAAAACAAAGCAAAATTCAAAGGCTACAGGTATCCTGAGAGTGGAGTTTAACTAATGATTTAAACAGTTTAAGTCATTTAATAAAAACGTGAGAATCAGTTAACACCTGATATTATTTGCAATTTAACTTTTCTAATGTCGTCCCCCCCCATATTTTCATGCTCATTTGGATCCTAGTTAATATTAGCAGAGAAGCAACAACTACAAGACATACTTCATATCTTAATGTGTTAGCTTTAGCTATTTAAACATGTTTCTATTCACAAGTTATCATTATGAAAATGAATAAAATATTCTCGTTATTTTGGTTATGAAAGGTAAAAGTCAAAATGACCCTTTCAAATTATGGTTCAAAGTTTAGCTTTTAATGAATTAGAAAATCGCTTACGAGAAAAGTCATTTTTCTGAAGACAAATTAGGACTGACAGGGCAGGAGGCTGAGAAAAGGAAACGTTGACTCAGTTGCTCACCTGTAGCTGCCGGCAACATCCTCACCATGAGCCACCAGAGGGCGATCAGACTCAGGTTTAAGGAACAGGCCTCTCCTTAGCCCGTCTTGGATTTGGAGGAACCTCACTAAGTTTCAGTCCTCCTTTCTGTAGGAAACAAACACTTCTAGTAGTCTCCTGACCTTCCTCGCCTGTTGCATATTTTAATTCGTGTCTTTAGAGCGCATCGCCCTTCTGCTCAGCTCCCCACTTTCTGATCTGTGACTGCGAAGTGGGGACTGGAGACATCTAGATGGCCAAGTCGGCTTACCTCAAGCCTGCGACAGGGTCTTCAAGCTGAGCTGGGCCCCAACACAGGCGAAGGTAAGGAGCTCAAGAAACTGCTGTTGTCGGGAGGCGGGCCTGCAGAGACCAGGAGCTGCGCAGGCGACGCGGGGACTGCACAGGCAGCTGCCGGGCGGGGTCTCCAATGCGCACCTGGTCTCCTCAGCGCGGGGTCTCCTCAGCGCCGGGGTCTCCAATGCGCACCTGGTCTCCTCAGCGCCGGGGTCTCCTCAGCGCCGGGGTCTCCTCGGCGCGGGGTCTCCTCGGCGCGGGGTCTCCAATGCGCCCCTGGTCTCCTCAGCGCCGGGGTCTCCTCGGCGCGGGGTCTCCTCAGCCCCGGGGTCTCCTCGGCGCGGGGTCTCCTCAGCCCCGGCGTCTCCTCAGCCCCGGGGTCTCCTCAGCCCCGGCGTCTCCTCAGCCTCGGGGTCTCCTCAGCCCCGGCGTCTCCTCAGCCCCGGCGTCTCCTCAGCCCCGGGGTCTCCTCAGCCCCGGGGTCTCCTCGGCGCGGGGTCTCCTCAGTCCCGGGGTCTCCTCAGCCCCGGGGTCTCCTCGGCGCGGGCTCTCCTCAGTCCCGGGGTCTCCTCAGCCCCGGCGTCTCCTCAGCTCCGGGGTCTCCTTAGCCCCGGCGTCTCCTCAGCTCCGGGGTCTCCTCAGGGCCAGGTCCCCACACCCGGACACGCCCGCCCTGAGGAACGCTGGTCGCTCGCTGGGGCGGCTCCGGTGGCGGAAGACAACCCGCGGGCGGGGGCGCGCGGAGGCGCTGTCTTCAGCTGCGCGCGGCGACCCAAGGCCCGGATGTCGCCAGGGCCCGCGCTCCACCGAGCTGGCTGCCGTCGCCCATCCGCGGAGGGCGAGAAAAGGCGACCAGGGCCCGAGGGCGGGGGCGGGGCCTGGCCAGAGAGGCGTGCCGGGGGCGGGGCGTATCGGGGCGGAGTCTTGGGGGAGAGGGAGCCGCGCGGCGCCCGGCCTGCGAGCGGGGGCGGGTGCTACAGAGACCCGTGAGGCCCAGGAGAAGGCCTGAGCGCTGCGCGCACTGCGCCAGGAGGCGGGCGGTGGCTCAGGGGACCCCGTGCTGCTGGAGCTCCTGAGGAAGGAGACTCCCTGAGTGTGAGTCTGGTCGGCTTGGCAGCCGCTATAGGAACAACTCGACTAGATTTGGTGGAAGTTTAGAAGCCCCTTTATTGAAGATCTGTCTGGGCTTGTTTATGTTCTGACTTTCTGGTTATCGAACAAAGACAACTGTAAAACATCTAAATGTGGCATAAAGGAGTTGTAATTACAAATAATCAGAGACACTCGGGGGATGGGATGGGTGACGACAGCGGAAAGACTAGAAAAATCAGTTACCCTTAAGAGCTGAGAAAGGATTGGAAAAGCACTTTTTTGGGACCCTAAGGCACACTGGCTGAGATTGCTGTCATAGAAAAACAAAACCAAATATCCAGATTAATATACTGGGAACAATTTCAACAGCGAAATGAACTAGTCGGCTCTACTGATTGAAAGCTTCTGCTGGAGTGTAAATAGGAACAACTATGGGGCAACAGGCATGAAGGAATCTGATGAAAGAAGTCGGAATCAGCAGTCAGTAAAAGCCCATGTAGAGAACCCTTACTGGCATACTACCACCACATGTGTGTGTGTAAGTTGAAGCTTGGGAATTCAATTGCAAAACAGGTTGGGCTATGGTTCCTGTTGTACTCACTCGAGCATTTTCCACGGAGTGTAGATTACACTTGGACGTAGGCCAACAGACAGTCTGGCCAATAACTTGGCCATAATAATACAAGGAGCTGTCAAGCTTCACAGATGAAAATTTCATTACGGTTGGGGATTAGTTACACTCCAGTTTCCTTCTAACCCTTATTATTGACTAAAATGCACAGCTGTATTCATGGGGGAGGTGGGAGAGGAAGCTAGGTGCTTGAATAACATCCTGGTAAGAAGCAAAGGTAACTTTACCACCAGAGTTAATTTGAGAGCCTGTAATTATAAACAAAACACAATTAACATTTGTCCCAGTCCAATAGCCAAAGTAAGTTTTGCTTTGGCCCTTCAGTAATTGTATGTATTCTGTGGCTTCCTCAGTGTCTACTACCCAATCACCCCCACGTAGTGGCTGCAATTTTTTTTTCTGAATGGATTTTTCTTATCCTGGTCAGAGTTAATATCTTTAAATTCCTTATCAGTTTTCTAGACCAAACTATTTCAACACAACGATATTCATTTTTCTTGTGTGGGTTTCTAAATTGTTCTATGGATTACTGTCTCACTTGGTTCACTACTCTGCTCTACATGAGAATCTATCTGGCCATGGATAGCTAGTACTTTTGTAACAGCTGGGTTTAAAATGAGTTGATCTTTTAACAGTTTAGCTTGAATGAACTTATGACCTTTACTAAAAGTTGCTCTAAAACAAAGATCTTCCTTGCAGAGAACTTCTCACAAACAGTTGGATTGTCTTCATCATGCCAGATTGCAGAACACTCACTTCCTTATGTGAGAGTAGGGAGTTCTGACATCATGGACATCAGACTCCATTTTCTATCAAGAAGTCAGTGTTCATAAAAAACAGTTGGTAGATGTTTCTTAAAACAAGATATAAACACAAAGTAATTTCATCTTGTGGTTGCACAGAGCCCTGTGATGTGAAGGCTACCAGAATCAGGAAGTATTAGTGTCAGAAAAACAGCTGTCACACAAAGTTTTCATCCAATCATTGTATTTTCTGATTTATTATCATCAAAATGCTAATTTTCACTTCACCAATAAATGAATCCCATGCTTAGATATTGAGGTTTTTTTCTTTTTTTTTTTTTTTTTTTTTTTTATTTCCGAGCCATACACACATCTGGAACTAAGCTGTGGGGATGTAGCTAAGTTCCCAGCATTCTCAGATGAGCTTTCAGGATGATTCGTTTTGAACACGAATCTTCTCACAGTTCTGACGTCTGAGTGCACTGAAATAAAACAGATAAACGATTCAAATCCCTTTCAGAAAGGCTGGTAGGTAAATGGCACTATTAAAAATGAAGAGAGTCTTGTTTCCTATGAACTAAAAATGAATAGCTCCAATTATGACTTCCATGCACATGAAGATGCTACAAAGTTAATAAATTATAAATAATGCATCCAACCATAGAAGAAGTGAGGTATAGTCTATGTTATTGTACATTAAAAATCCTTCATGAGTGTAGCAAGAGATACATATACCAACAGCTGCTAAATTCAGAATCCTAGAACAGTATCTTATTTTAATGAAAATGAAGTATAGTACAGAGTATTGCTCTGGGGATTCCTTTCTATATAAAGGGATGTTAAATCTACATGAGATTTTATGCAGTGATTTCAAATATTATGAAAATCCATTTTCTTTATTTGCATATCTTTTAACCAACTTTCAAGTACCCAACTAAAAATAATAGAGACAGTGTTTTCTGGAATAGATGACCTGTCCCCCACCCTGAAGTCTTTCTTTTCCTTCTTGTTCTCTATATACGTGTTCCTCCAGCCCTTCCTTCATTCCTCCCTTCCTTTAATTGTTTTCTCTCCCCATTCCCTCTCTGTGCCCTTCTACTTTTGCTTTCTCTCTCTCCCTCTGACCCTGTCTTCCTTCTTCCCTGCCTCTGTTTTTCTCTCTTTCCCTCCTTTCTATTCTCTGTCCATCCCTCCCTTGATATATTTTCCAGAGGCCAGCACTTTGGATTGAGCATGTTGAAAGTTGAGCATATATCACTACCCCCATTTAAAGTGGAAGAGAGAATGATGTAAAAGTCTAAAGAGAGTAGCTAAATTTAGAAGCTCTTTTTCTTATGTGTTGTGGTATTTGTTTCTGTATAACCTATACTTGGGTATTTGTCTTGAGGGTAACTTAATTATGCAGTGATATGTAGGATTGGGTAGTAAGCCAACCTTTTAAAATGATTATTAGAAATAATTTTATTTCTAAGATAGGTCAATTCATGTTCTTAGATTTACAATGTAAGTTAAATACTACACAGTCATAAAGAACAATAAAATGCAAACAATAAAACAAACCAGTAATTACATAAAATTCCTAGGCTGGAATATTTTTTGCCCATATCTATTATTTTGGTTGACTTAATAACTAGGATCAAGAATCCAAGAATCATTTTATCTTCACCCAGCACCAAACTGTTGAAGGAGAATTGTTCACACTGCTACTCCACAGTGCCAATAAAGCCACATTGGTCAAGGATGTAGTCAGTGATTAGAGGGCCAGGATTTACCATAGAGATGTTAGAGATCTGAGGAATTTGGAAAGAAAGGGACAGGAAGAGAGAAGAAGGGACTGAGGGGGATTTCTGGGGCATTTGGATATGGAAAACTTTGCGAGTAGGGTCAGCCAATCACCTTTTTGCTGTTCCATGTTTTTATCAGGTTTTTACCTCAATTTCTGACTCCTGAATTTTTATTAATACTAGTACAATTTAGGTAAATATTGCACTAAACCAGGCACATATTCAGTGTGCAGGGTTGTAGATGTAACCAATCGTATTATTAAAATAAAAAACAAAGAGCCAAGGTAAAAGAGAAAAGCCGAGAGGTCAGAGCTCAGAGATAAAATCTTACCTCCTGCAGTGCTCCTAGCTTCCCCGAGAGAGGGAGGTACTTCCT